AACCCTCTTGCTACAGACAGGTCAAATAGCTCATCACATTTTAGAGAGTTATTTTCAAAACTATATTATAAATCTATGTCAACAAAACTGGCATTAAAACATAGGTTATAATTCAAATTTTAATATTACATGTTTTAATTTTTTAATTCAACAGAAAATATTAAAAACTAAGTGCTAAATATCCTCTTTTGTGTATTATATGGTCTGTTTCTATTGTATAATGCCTATCATACAATGTCTATAGTAGTTATTGAAGCAGAAACTCGAATTTCAGACACTGACAAGCTAGAATATAAAAAAAGATCTGCCACCTATCTGATTTGCTGAGGTAGCAATATATTTAGCAAACACACAAGAGTAGCCCTTTTCACAACTCATTCTTTTGAAACCTCTTAAGTACATGCTTATAACCAATAGAAAGAGCACATTCCAAACTATGTAAATCTGACAGTTATTTGTAACTGGCTTAAGGGGGCAAGTCAGAGTTTTACTGAAAATGTTGAGGTCTGTTGACTAAGTCATTGCTCTGAACAGAAATGAGAATTTTTAACCCACATATAACTTAGTTAGAAAGCCAGATAAATTACAGTGATTTTATGTGTATCAGTATAGTAATTTGATAATTTTTTGGTTTCCTAAAATGCACTGCACCACCTAACAATGACAACATCCAATCAACATGAAAGCCTTTGCAGTATCATATCATGCAGAAAGTAGTTCATCATATGCAACTGAAGTAAAAATCAAATATGCTAAAATTCTTCTTGTTAGATTTACTAATAATTAATATCCAACTTTGTAATTAAACTTTAAAACACTGACTTAGTTTTTCAGTTACAAATATATGATGTCTATATACAGCAATATAGTTTGAAAATGGTGTATCACTGTACATGTAACATCAGTAGTCTAGGCCAATTAAAATTAAGGTATCAGAGTAATAGCAGCCAACAGGGTTACACAAAATTAGCTGTGAGCTTGTCTGTGTATACATACAATAGCTGATTGTGTGGCCAATACCATGAAAAATAATAACAAGATTTAGATTCAAAAGTATTTACTCCTTGAAAAGAATAAAAAGGATCAGTAGGAGGCCCACAACAGTAAGTATCATGACAAGCTTGACTGAGGCTCTAATAAGCCCTCAAAAAACTCATTTTGTAGGCACTTTCAAGGATCAGTGTGATAGTGCACATCAAACATGAAGAACTGGATAAGGTAAAGTCCATTCTTGGTTGAATTGTTGACATATGGACTCAAGAATCTCTCTCAACCAGCAAACAAAATCATTGTTTTGTTCTAATTTCTGTCAATGGACTCACACAGGTATTTTGATGTGAAAGGCAAAAGCATATCCATTGCTTTTCTTGGCAGGTCAGGATATTCTTTGCAAACTAGAATATAAAAGTTCCCAAGAGGTGTGACTTAAATTCTACAAGTAGTTTTATCACTGGACAGTTCTATAATCTTATTAAAAGTTGTTATTGCCAGCAGAAAAGTTATGCTGCTATTAAATTGATTTCAGATCCAAGCATGTTCTTCTGTTAATTCTTGAAATTTATCTGCAAACTGGCACTGAAATTTTTCGAGATGAATTGAGACAACATCACAAATGAGGCTATGATTTAACTCATTTTCTTCCAAGAATTCACTAAAGGAAGGAAACATTTCACAACTTCCATTCTTCAATAGTTTTTTCTACAGCACAAGTTGTTTGTGAAATGCAGGCTTTGTCATTAATCTGCAAAATATTCCTATTCTGATCTTGCAATGAAAAGTTAAGGACTTTAAATTTATCAAAAATATCAATTAGGTAGCACAGAACTAGAAGCCAATTTTTCATCTCTAAAATTTTCTGCTAGTGTGGAATTGCAGTCTAACAAAACAATACAAAGTTCATCTTTCAGCTGTACAATGCAACTGAGTACCTTCACAAGAAACAATCAGCACACCTCTCTATGCAATAGGAGCTTGTCATACATTAATCCTATTTCTTCACAAAGAATGGAAAACAGTCTGCTGTTCAAAGCTCTTGCCTTCACAAATTTCACAACACTCACTGTATCTTGTAGCACTTTGAAGCTAGTTCTTCCCTGTATATAATGCAATGTGTAAATGTTATATCTGAAGCAAAAACACTTACTTTGACTTTGAACCCTTTCTTAGCTGCCTCATCAGTGCATATCCCAACACAATTAATCCAAGAAAGATTGTTTGTAGTGAAAAACCCACCAACAAGAGAGAAGACAGATGGTTTCCACAACAGCTCAACCTCACACTACTTCGCAAAAAAGAAACTCTTCACACACTTCTTCTACATAAAAGTATCATATAAATACCAGAAGCTGATCTAAATTTACTACATCTATGGTTCATCAAGTTGTATAGTGAATTTTGTACTGTTCTGGATGTGTGTGTGCTAAATTTAATTTTTGTCAGCACAGATTACATTTTTTTGCCTTGCAACAGTGTCATGTGATAAAAAGACAGACTTGGAGACTTCACCATACCTCTCTCCATACATGATCTCACACATTTTTAGGGCAGAAGGAAGAACTAATGTCTCTTCTATTTTATGTTGTGGGGCTTCATACTTTTGTCAATCAAATAAGCCTTTAAAAGTTTTGATGAAACAATGACCTGTTTTTCAAACAAGCTACTTTACCATTTCAATTCTTTCACTTGATACTTGAAGAACTCCATAGGTTTATCCACATGCACAGGGTATTTGGTTTCCAAATGCTTTGTTTATTTGGTTTCATGTTGTCATTATCTCAAATCTGTAAACAAGTAATGTACTGCAGTTGTTTCTCTTTATTAATAGCTCTCCAAGTGAAAGTGAAACCACATTTTAAATAATCCTCCTGGTACTTACACACTTTAGTTTTTGATGTGATGTTCAGTTCACCAAAAAAAAAAAACAGTAGAAAAGGAAAATGAGGAAGTGCTTGGTTTAGCCTCAGAGCCATCAGTTTGTATTTCTTCATTATAACCATCATTTCATGATTTCTCCTGCTTGTTTACTACTGAGCTGTTACTCAAAGAAGCATGAAATTGTTTTTTGCCTTTATGTAATAATCACTTATCCATGGTTTTGACAAACTAATAAATGTATACTAATGTCCAAAACTTGAAACTAACAAAAACTAAAAAAAAAATACTCATGATATCTTGGCCATTCAATCAAAATCACATTGCTTTTTGCTACCTTTCCATATCATTGGTTAATAAATATTATAATATGATATTTAGGGCTCCCAGTTTACCTGCTCTAATGCATCCTTGTGCCTTGTTTTTGAATATCTTTCATAAAATTACAATTTTAGACGTTGCACTAGTCATGCATAAACAGCTATTTTATGCTAAATTAATCGAATCTCTTCATTAGCAGCAAAAATAACAAACACTAAAACAAGACAATAAATATAATGGAAGTTTAATCAGGTAATGAGGTGGGAATGAAAAATAAAATGTTTGGAGATGATAGATAAGCATCACAAGTCAATTCAGTTCCACTTAAAAAATAAAATAAATCAATCAGTGATTTGAAGGAAAACTACTTTGTTTCATAAATTACTGTGAGGTGCAGTGCTTTGAGACAGCTAACAGCCACTACCTAGAAAAAAAAAAAATATATATATATATATTAAGTTTTCTATGCCTGGAGTAAAAAAACTTCTGCTTGTTTGTACAAAACTGTTTGAATACAAAACTATTTCTGTATATGAGTGATTAATTTACACTGGAAAGTAAGAAAGAGTGAAATACATTTTGACTATGTGTCCTCTCTTTCTACTTGTTTTCAGCATGGAATTAACCTCAACTTGTTCCTTTAGCAACCCGCACACTGATGAAGCTCCCTACTAACCTATTTGTATATATATTAAACATGTCATTTTCCCATGTTAATTGTTGTTAATATATTACTTAATAGTAGTCATATTTCTACAGTACTTTTTAGATTTTTAAATTTATACCCCTATGGTCATAGTTCTGTGTCCCCCTACCTATTCAGGATATCCCCCCCTTGGGGGGCTCGCCTCACAGTTTGCATAACACAGATCTAGTAGACCTATACGATAAACTGTTTGAGTTGGGCTACAAGATGTTGAAAACTGCATTGTTGTATTTCCTTAGTTAATTAATCAATAAATTTTAAAATAGAGCAGATAATTTTGGGCCACCCTGTGTATAGCTAATAACCCAGTCGAAACAAATAATTGGAACCACAACCTGTGTGATGTAATCATAATGTATTGACAATAAGGGGCAACTGGATTCCATAACTTACTGAACCATCCATGAGAAAGATAAAAGTTTAAACTCATCCACTATTTTTCTCAAAATATTGACTTCCCTCTTAAATTCCTGTAAAGTACTGGCCTCTACTATTATTGACAGTAACTCATAATATAAGTCAATAATCCTGTTAGAGAAATAAATCTGGTATATTCAGCATATCAATATGTATTAAATAAATTTCTTACTATTTCAACATTGTGTTTTTATGATAATTTATATTTTATGCCTTAATCTCCAAACATTATGTGGATTCCAATTCTTCTTAATATAACTCCTACCCTGACAAAAATTATATTTGTATCCTCATGTCCTACCATCTTTATCATTAAAATTTAAATACAAAAAAAAGATTGTAATGATAGAATCATAACTGGCTAAGTTTGCTGCTGACAATAAATTCTTGGGCAATTCTAACTCCAATGAGGATGTTGTAGACTGTAGTGAAAATCACTGGTATCTAAACATCCTCACTAACTTGCATAAACTAGAACTTAGAAGTTATAAGCAAAATTAACTAGAATTTTGTAGAAATGCTCAAGAGTTAAATGTCACCAGCAACCTTGACTAATTTACTAACTATGTTAAATTTGAAAGTTGAATTGAAAACAACGGGCATGAAATTTTATCAACAACAGCCCTTAAAAGTTAAACTTAACATTTCACTATTCGGTATTCCACAACACCAATGTTCCACTTACCTAGTAACTGGACCAAAATACTATTAGTATTATTGTTCAGCAGATTAACTAGCTTCCCACTCTTTGAAAGACTGGCCTAAGTTAAAGTAAAAAATATAAATATATACAGATTACCAGTTTACAAACAGTAATTGCGTAACTAACTCAAACTCAACAGACAGTATGGAAAAATCAATTTTCCCACATGGTGGCGGAGAAAAATCATAGAACAGTTTTATTAATAAAACCGATTGCGTTCACTTGACTCAAGGTGCTTTATAATTTATACTACCTGAATGCCTGAAAATTAAATCTAAATAGATAATTTGCGATTGTGGCGTAAGTATGCCGCTGCAATTACAGGGGGACGAGCCAAATAGGGGGCCCGAAAAGCTTGACAAATTTAAAAATTTCCGACTAGTGGGTATGGATGTGAATTGGTGTTCAGTCGTGTTGTGCGCGACACATGAGGGTTAGGTGCTATCTAGACCTCTTCCTCCCTCCTTTACAGTTTATATATTAACTGCCTATTTCTATACGGTCACTTCACGAGATCAGGGCTCAAACACTAAATTAGTTACACTGATCCTACTTCCCTCTTGGTTGTGTACCAGTCCTACACTCACAAACAGTTCCATTGGCGAATCGTCATTTTTTCCATAGATTACGTTATTAGACACGAATTTGACATAAATACTCTTTTAAATACACTTTTGATATTTCAATTTAAATGATATGATAGGTGGATTTTTTCTTGTGGTACATATTGAGTGGAGAGAGATACATAGGGCTCTCATCACCATGTATGATATAGCGATCAATGTGTAAGTTAATAATTCATTGTTGTATAGATTTTTGTAAAATATTTGAACGAGCCACCTAGGAGATTGTCATGGATTGGTTGTATGTTTGTGCATAAAACTTGTATTTCATTTTCTGGATACTCTAAATGTTGTAGTGATTACTGAATTCCGTGAACCAGTGGTTCTCAACTTTTTGAATCTTAGAACCCTTTTGGTGTCAAATTTGTGTAACAGAACTCTTCACATCACTCATTACAAAAAAGCGTTACTGCAATACAATATCATTAATTCCAGACATAGTACGTATTGTTACGTCTCCGTTTTTTAATTAACTTTCTGTAACTTCGTTCTG